CTGAAATCAGTGTGGAGATCTTCTGAACTCGGCTTGTGGAACAAGATCCGCATTTTGAACACCAACACCAGTCAAGTCAGTGCTTCTGTATAGTGCAGAGAGTTGGCGATGCTTTACGAAAGGCATTTCCAACAAACGACAGACACTGATCAACAACTGCCACCTACGCTGACTCGTTACTCAAGATCAGATGGCCAGAATAATAAGAATAAGCAAGAGGGAACTCACTGTGGCTGGCAACGAACCGACGAAGCAAGAACCTATCACTCAACAAATATGCACTGGAAGGAAGTGGAGATGGGTTGCGTTGGGTTGGGTTGGGTTGGGTTGGGTTGGGCATACACTGAGAAGACCGACTGGGGACATGACGCAACAGGCCAGGCACTCGAGTGGAACTCACTCAGATGGGAAGCGACGAGTTGGGCATCTGAGGTGAGGGTGACATGGAGGAGATGGTGTGAGGAAGAAATGAGAGGTTGTTGGCTGTCGTGTTGCCAGGTTGAAAAGATTTCAGAGAAGAGAGTGGAATGGAGACGTGCTATTGAAGCGGTATGTTCCATTAGGAAGGAACCCAAGAGACAAATGTTGAATAATAATTCACTCAAGATGTATATGCCTATACTTTAATAGCCAACCATTGTTCAGCTGGGGATTTAAGGACGCCTTACCTTATTTCAGCTCATCATCATCATCATCATCATCCATACACCAATTCAAATGTTCCTGTGGAACAAGTTATATACCACACACTATTAGATATAGTCATCTCAGGGTAAGTGAATATCTACCGGCATGATTTGTAAATGTTGAGATCAAGTGTATTAGAAGTTTTATCTACTGGCACATCTGATAGATATATGACATGAAAGAGATGTTAGTGTAGTTTTCACTGTGTCTCAACAATGTGCCATTCGTTAATGCATTCTCCATATAGCAGAAACTGTAGCTATAAGATCAACTGGGATTTAACTGTGTATTTAAGGAGAATAAGGCCAAACCCAGGTAAAGGCTAAAAGTGAAATGTAGTTTGGAGTGGATCCAATAAGATTTTTTTTTATCGGTGACGTTTACTTGTTAGTATCAAACAGAAATATGATGGAGACTAATCTGTTGGTAGGTATAGTAATCACTAATATATTAGTATTATTGCTATGTGTAATAACAATAATGTTAATTGTTCGACATCGAATTTATGAAGGAAAATGGATTTTTAGTTAGTATATCAGGGAGAAACTAAATAAACCTTCGAAGTCAGTATTTATAATGATGGACATACAGTACGAAGAGAATCTTGATTTTCACGTTGCTTATCTCTGTGTTAAAGTTAGAAAGGTAGTAGAATAAACACCTGAAACAAGCTGAAGCGAAAACTGATCAGCAAATTGAGCGGAGAAATATTTGTTTTCTATTAAATCTTCGTCATTCGCTCTATACTTATATTATACAGGTTTTGTATCCAATAATATAATACAATTTTATGTATTAAAAGTCAAATATGAACGAAGAATATGCTTCTCAGTAACTCCTCATGAGGTTCAACACTTATAACAGTTTTGTGTAGGATGCATTTAGGATTGCATATGCAAGTATAATTTAAATTCGATTCTTTAAGGCTGTGTAACTTATATATAAGGATATCAATTGTTGTGATAGGTAAACTTTGCCAATCGACTGATGATCAAATGTATGAGGAAGGCAAAGCGATAATAATGTCCCAGAATCCACATTTTATCGATTAAATGAGTGATTAGTACCAAGAATGATGACATGAATTTACCTATAGGTGACAATGGAGTGAATAAGTCACCAGAAGACGGTTAATATATGAAACGATTAACATAATCACAGTAGTAATAATGCACACACAAAAAATCCTAATAGGAATTTTAAGAAGGGAGGAAAGTCTAGTTAAAAACAATAAGATTATTAATAATAGTAGCAGTTTTATTATTTATCTTAAAAAAAGAAGAAAAGAAAAGAGAGGAGGAAAAGGGGAAGATTAAGGAAGAAACAAAAAGTTTGAGGGACTACCGTTTACTCAGTGGAGAGTCAAGGGAGCATTAGGCTTCGAAAGTGTTCCATTTGAATATAAAGTTAAAGCTACACAGATACAGATTCTGCTATATGGAGAATGCATTAACGAATGGCACATTGTTGAGACACAGTGAAAACTACACTAACATCTCTTTCATGTCATATATCTATCAGATGTGCCAGTAGATAAAACTTCTAATACACTTGATCTCAACATTTACAAATCATGCCGGTAGATATTCACTTACCCTGAGATGACTATATCTAATAGTGTGTGGTATATAACTTGTTCCACAGGAACATTTGAATTGGTGTATGGATGATGATGATGATGATGATGAGCTGAAATAAGGTAAGGCGTCCTTAAATCCCCAGCTGAACAATGGTTGGCTATTAAAGTATAGGCATATACATCTTGAGTGAATTATTATTCAACATTTGTCTCTTGGGTTCCTTCCTAATGGAACATACCGCTTCAATAGCACGTCTCCATTCCACTCTCTTCTCTGAAATCTTTTCAACCTGGCAACACGACAGCCAACAACCTCTCATTTCTTCCTCACATCATCTCCTCCATGTCACCCTCACCTCAAATGCCCAACTCGTCGCTTCCCATCTGAGTGAGTTCCACTCGAGTGCCTGGCCTGTTGCGTCATGTCCCCAGTCGGTCTTCTCAGTGTATGCCCAACCCAACCCAACCCAACCCAACCCAACCCAACCCAACCCAACCCAACGCAACCCATCTCCACTTCCTTCCAGTGCATATTTGTTGAGTGATAGGTTCTTGCTTCGTCGGTTCGTTGTCAGCCACAGTGAGTTCCCTCTTGCTTATTCTTATTATTCTGGCCATCTGATCTTGAGTAACGAGTCAGCGTAGGTGGCAGTTGTTGATCAGTGTCTGTCGTTTGTTGGAAATGCCTTTCGTAAAGCATCGCCAACTCTCTGCACTATACAGAAGCACTGACTTGACTGGTGTTGGTGTTCAAAATGCGGATCTTGTTCCACAAGCCGAGTTCAGAAGATCTCCACACTGATTTCAGTCTATTAAACTCCTGTCTTGCTTTTCCGATTCTGACTTTGACGTCCTCGTCTGTGCCTGTGCCACCTGTAGTTGAAACGGTGCTGCCTGGATAGGTGAAGGAGGCTATTTCCTTTAGGTTTCTCCCAACGATGATGATTGGAGCTTGTTGTTGCTGCTGCTGATGCTGGTGTTGTTGGTTGGGTATCTTCATCACCTTCGTCTTCTCTATATTCACTCCTATTCATCTAGAGTAAAACATTCTGTTTATTGTTCTGGATAGATGTTGTGAGTGTCTCCTCAAAATTACATATGTACAAATATAAGTTTTTGCCTACACACTTGTCAATTCGTGTTTTTGATTACTACGAGTGATGTTTACTTTTATAAACTTCTCTAGATGTTCGTTTTCCTTTGAAATATGCTTGAAGACTTGTAATTGTTTCTCGACATATTCCTCAGAGTAGATAAATCTTTGTGTAAACACTAATCATGTGATAATATTTCATTTGTACTTGGTTGATACGATGGTGAGGAAGTGAGTATACTGTGTCTTTGTCGTCTTCGTATATACACTTGTTTTCAGAGGACTGTGTTTTGTCTTCTTTTGCTGAGGACAACAAGGAAATGAAGAGAATTATTACGTTGAAGCAGTTTTGTAAAATTAACTGTTTGACTGGCGTTATTGAAGCGTTTTGTGTTTGAATCGATAGAAGTGTATCATCCATATACTGATAACACAAATCTATGTCGGTAACATCTTTCTTTAATAATCCGTTTTCTGGTATCTATAAAAATATATTTAGGAAAGGGATTTTATATGAATCTGTGGGTTTTGATGGGAAATAAAAATTTAGAATTTGTGAATAAATTGCCTGAAACAGTGTGTAGTGATGACCCTACAATCACGAAGTAAGTGTTCATCATAAAGTGACATCATGTCGTTTCGTTCTGGAGTGGGACTTCTTGATGGTGCAAATCCATGACCCTATCAAATTTTGATCTCAGGCATCTCACTAATGACCACTTGATATCATTTCAGTGATCAATCTAAACTGAGTTGAATATCTTTCAAATTATGATCATATTCATTATCTAATCATTGAATCATTGTGATATAAATCTTTATTACACAATGAAATATTTTAAGTGTTTCCAGACAAGACAAATTAACAATAAGAAGAGAAGTATACTGTGATAATGTTTGAACCTTTACTGTATAGGTTACAAGAAAAGCATTCACCATTATCATGATTTTCGACTTCAATCAATTATATATTCTTTGAAAAAAAATCTCAAAATCAGAAATAGATAACTTTTAGAAGTGTATAAGAAAAATTCAGTAAAATAATATAATATCAGCAGAAATAAAGCAAGAAAAATGCAGTTTTATTTTTATTATACTACTTATTAACTCACTCTTTGAACCGGTTATTTTATATAGTGTTCAATGTTCATGTGAATAGAATTGTTTTAATGAATCAATTAATAATTATCATACTTACATTGAAACATATATGTATTTAAATGAATCCAGATATATATATATATATATATATATATATATCATTTAATTGGCAAAATTATTCATTAATGAAGTGATATGCTAGTAATAACATGTAATTTCTTAGTCGAAAGGTGAATTGTACAAGTGTGTTATTATGATTTAATGAATATTGAACAAATCATTCAGTTTCAATGTTCAATAGTGATTATTATAGTCAATTGTTTAATTATCTTTATTATTCCACTGAAAGTTAATTCATTTTTGATTGCATAAAATGTTGATCTGTTATTAAACATAGATGAATTATACACTGTAGATAGGTTAAGGCACTTGGTATTCTTACGTTCATTGTTACAATACACAGATAATGTTTATTTGTTTATATGTGATAGATATGGAGGGGAGTAAGAGAAAGAAAGAGTATTTTCATGTTTCTTTAAGTTAATTCACATGTGCAGGTTTCCGTATGACACCTACACATGGTTCACCTACATGATTGAATGCGCTAGATCTTACCATGTCTGAATCATTTTCTTCAATATCAATTGAGGGGATAGTTTTCACACCATTAAACTGTACATCAGTAGGATAACGATGTACTATTGTTGAGAAATTTGATGGTTGTTGAAAAGTGATTAAATCCTCTGGTCTAGTGGATAAGTTTTCATCCTGCTTCAAAGGTTGATGAAGTTGTTGTTGAGCTATAGGAATCGGTCGATTATTCGTCAGTGGTGTAGATGCATCATTATGTTGTAACTGTTGCTGCTGTCGACCTGATAGTGACTGATTTTGATTAGACTTCTTCATTTGACACATAACTTTCCTACGTGTTCCATCACCATAACATACACTGTTACGTGAATGTCTGCTTAGAGAGCCAGCATGAGACATTCCGTTTTTACCTTCAGAATGATTCGATGGCGCCGGACTTGTAGAACCATTTTGACATTGTAGTAATAATCCACGTTGTGTTGAACTAATTGAACCACGTGAAGGTACTGGATAGATGGTTATTAGGCCTGAAGTATCATTATAAGAGGCTATAGGTCCACCAGAAATGGGATAACCTGATAACTGGGCATACTGTGGCCCTAAAGCTGAGTATGAAATGGGGATATTTTGTAAACCCGTTTGTGGGTCACATGTGCTCATATTACTCGCTGTCATAACAATATTATTCATGCTGGCTGTTTCACTTGGCAAATGAGTTATCCCATAATGTCTAGGCGATTGATCAGTAATGAATAGGGGAGATACTTGACTCATACTTACTTTACCATTCATCTGACAGAAAGAAGGTGATGGATGTGGTTCTTTGCAGATGCTTGCCTGCGATGATCGTGGTATTCGTTTCTTATAGTATTGTGGACCTCTTCTCAGTCGAATGCATAGAGTTAGAGATGTCAGTGCAAAGACTACACACATGAAACTAATCAAAGCACATGCAACACGTGAAATAACCAACTGCATATAAAGTTCTCGATTTTGACGTTCAGCTTTGGTTAATGCCACAGTTGTTGCTGAAGTACCAGCTATATTACTAGCATTTTCCTGCTTCTGTATATTGGAATTTACTTCATGTAAATTTATTGGACATTGTTTACGTAGACAAAGAACATGTTGAGGCATTAAAACTAACTGTTCAGAAACCAATGGATTGATCAATTCAAGTTTCAATTGTTTATCTGGACGTAGAACAGCCATTAAATTCAAATCACCTACACGATCAGCAAGAAAAAAGTAACGTGCATCATTTGCCAATTGTTTTGGTTGACCAATACCAATATCTTCAGCACGTATCAACTGATCTAGACGTTCTAAGTCAATTAAAGACGCTGACCATTCTTTATTGATATGTTTTAATTCTTTTTCAGCTTGATTCACTTCATCATTATCATCATCATTACTGGCATAATTATCACGATGATCATAGGATGAAGTTGGTACTATTCGACCATTTAATAATTGTAGTCGTGTACACGCTGAAGCATGTCCATATGCATCTAAACTTGATGTCGGTGGTGATGTTAACCATGCATAAGTGATATTACACTGACCTAAGCGTCGAAAACCAGCTTGTCCTAATATTGTATATGAATCAGCTGGTAATACACGACGTGAACGAGATGAATACAAATTACAATTTACATTGAAAATAATGCTGTAAAATGATACAGTTGTGATTAAAACAAAATTGTTTAAATACATTTTAGAAAGTGATTGTGTTGCCTTTCAGTTGAGATGTAAGCTTCACTCATTCATGATAGTACTATACACACTACTGAAATCAGTAATATTCAATAATATTAGTATGACAATCCTCTTTGAATTAGAAGTAGTATATGGTAGTTGTTCAAAATGTATCCGTAATTAAAACATTTTTATTTGTATGTAATACTACTAATATACTGAATTTAATGATATGTGCATAGTTTTTCAATACTTTTCTAGTCGATTATATTGGTGATATGATGACTGCAAATGCTTCTGCTTTATTCTGATTGGTTACTAAATACTGAGATGTGATTGGTTGGAAAATAGACAAATGTAAATTGGCTTTTTTTTCATTATATTTTGTCTAGATTGAACACATCATAACATTGTTACGTGCTCCCCTAGTGTCAAAATTTGTTACCATCTAAGGACATACAAAATAGCATTTCAACAGACAAAGCACCATATAACTACATACCCTTTATGATGATACTTGTGTCATCCCGTCGCTGATTGGAACGAATTCATCGGTCTCTCTTGGCAGATGTCCTCCTGCGTGGATGCTTCGATATTGCCTTTCATTTTTATTGTCTTGTAGTGATGGGTAGTTGCTAGCAGTGGAATCCAGGATATGTGTTTCGCTCCACTGGGGACTCGTCAGCCGGACTTACCTGTCTCTCAGTGAGCCATGTTGTTTCCACTAAGACACAAAATCCAGGATCGATAGTTTCAAATAATAGTGCCTTATCAGGCAGGCCACTTAGGTGCAATGACTGCTTCTTGTGCAATGAGTATGGCTTTTATTGTATCGTTGATTGGATCGAGTTTATCGGTCTGTATTGCCAAAGGACCTCCATGTGGTCCTAGGTCCAAGTCTCAGTGAGAACAATGTATTTCACTGGGAGATAGGTACATCGAGCTGACGAGTTCCAAACAGGAGGAAATATGTCTATTGGATTCCCTTGAAAGTTACTATTCATTATTACTATATACACTTTGATGAGAATAATATAATTAGAGTGTGACTCAATCGGGAAATTTTGCCATGGTCTCTGGTTCATGTGTTCTATTTGACGGTATGAATAGCACTAAGATTGTTAGCATAAAATGAGCACCATTAATCTCACCAAAAGGCATGAGGATTTGTAGACTACGCACTTCATTCATCAATGATTTCTAACCAAATTGATTTGTATATTGATGACTATACAACTACTGAAATTCTGTAATAATTTGGCACTAATAGCTGAACTAAAAAATCTGTTAAGCAAATAAATAATCTAAATTACCGTCAATAGTATGGTTCAAATGGTCACAAAAGTTGTAAAAGTCAACATATGATGGAGAAGATTAGAAATATTCTGCATAAACAGTTATACAACTTGAAAATGCTTTTCATTTGTTTATGTAGTCAGTACTGATGGAATCATCTAGACTAGTGATGTAACATACAAAAGAATAATTTAAAGTTTAGAGTACACTCATTTTAGTTGGCTTATTAGCAGATTAACAGAATATACCAGTTATATCTATCACATCATCAAAATTCAATAAATCAAAGCGAATTATTAATCTCTCAACTAGCGTTTTAAGCTCATCAGAAATGAAGGTGTTAGATAATAGTCTTAACTTCAACATAGTGATCAATAAACTGAAACTTAAGACATCAACCTATAAAAATTCATCACATTATTTCCAGTATATGAGATAGTTCTAGCCAAGGAATGAATACACAATGTGGTAACAGAAAGATAACAAAAGAAAATGAAATTAAACTTATTATATATATTTTGAAGAACAAAATGATCACTAAATCAAACAAAGGTAACTTAAAGGTGGTATTGTAACGACCAGCTACCGGCTTGATTTCTGTCTAGCCTATAGGTATGCTATTGTAGGATAGCGCATAGAACAGTATACGTTCAGCAGTGACTACGAGAAATTAGGAGCGAAAAATGATTCAGCAAGTAAAGTACTAAACATATTTGAAATATCAACAGAGTTTGTTTGAGTCGTGTGATGTGTTTCTGCAACACATTATGAACAATCTGGTCACATACACACACACAAGTACATGCAAAATATATGAAAAATTAATAAGTTAAGGGGTATGGGTAATTTATACTGAGTCTAAGAAGTTGACAGAAGAGGCAGCGAAGGAAGACAGGACTTCAAGTGAACCTAGAGAAGACAGAGGTGATGAAGATACCCAACCAACAACACCACCAGCAACAGCAGCAACAACAAGCTCCAATCATCATCGTTGGGAGAAACCTAAAGGAAACAGCCTCCTTCACCTATCCAGGCAGCACCGTTTCAACTACAGGTGGCACAGGCACAGACGAGGACGTCAAAGTCAGAATCGGAAAAGCAAGACAGGAGTTTAATAGATTGAAATCAGTGTGGAGATCTTCTGAACTCGGCTTGTGGAACAAGATCCGCATTTTGAACACCAACACCAGTCAAGTCAGTGCTTCTGTATAGCGCAGAGAGTTGGCGATGCTTTACGAAAGGCATTTCCAACAAACGACAGACACTGATCAACAACTGCCACCTACGCTGACTCGTTACTCAAGATCAGATGGCCAGAATAATAAGAATAAGCAAGAGGGAACTCACTGTGGCTGACAACGAACCGACGAAGCAAGAACCTATCACTCAACAAATATGCACTGGAAGGAAGTGGAGATGGGTTGCGTTGGGTTGGGTTGGGTTGGGTTGGGTTGGGCATACACTGAGAAGACCGACTGGGGACATGACGCAACAGGCCAGGCACTCGAGTGGAACTCACTCAGATGGGAAGCGACGAGTTGGGCATCTGAGGTGAGGGTGACATGGAGGAGATGGTGTGAGGAAGAAATGAGAGGTTGTTGGCTGTCGTGTTGCCAGGTTGAAAAGATTTCAGAGAAGAGAGTGGAATGGAGACATGCTATTGAAGCGGTATGTTCCATTAGGAAGGAACCTAAGAGACAAATAATAATATACTGAGTGATGATCGATGGTGAAATAAGAATTTCGATCACGGTCGGATTTGAACCAGTAATTGCTAGGTTTCCGACCGGACACTCTACCAAATGAACTACGAAGTCTGACTGCTAACTAGATTCCCATTTCATTTCAATCACCAATAGTTTTCCCTGAATACAGTGTGAATTCCTGTTGGCCTTACTCTCGGCATTCTACAGTAGGCCAATTCAATTTACTTACGAGGTAGAAAATGAACAACAAGAATCAGCTAAGTTAGATTGCAGGATAAAAAGAAAGATACTAATGTTTTCAAAAAATCAGTGCATTTCAGCAGGGATCTAGAACTCAAATCGTATCATCCAGTGTCAATTAAAACAGATTTAATCAAAAGTCTAAATGATAGAGTCAGAAAACTGACTAGTGAGTGCAAGGACCTAAACAAGGAACTGAAGTACACAACAGAAGCACTAATAGTTAATAATTATCCTCTGGAGTTTATTAGGAAATTCACACGAACACACAAAAACGAAATAATAACCACAATAGGAGTAGAATGGAGTTCACAGCCTCCATTGTGTTCCCCTTTCAAAGAATGCGGATCAGAAACCGTGCGCAGAATCATCAACAAAGCTTGACATTAGGGTATCATTTAAACCTGTCTACAAACTCACTTAGAGATAAGCTTTATCGGTTGGCTTAAAGATCCGATAGAACCGATTCGGCAAAAAATAATCTAATCTTTCAAATTCCATATAGTGACTGTGAGATCAAGTACATAGGTGAAACAAGCAGGTCGCGGTCAGTAAGAATAGCGGAACATAGGAATTTAGCTAAATATAGAATGACAGACACAAATAAGATCAATAATCTAGAGAACAATCGGCTACTGCAATGTAAGGAATAATACACAAGTATACAATAGGGTCGTGGATAAAACCTCTGTGCTGTAGTCAATTATAATTAGGTGGAGAGAGAGGGAGAGATTGATCATCGACTCTTTTTTCTTCTAATCAACACCCAACATAACACATGTAATAGGAATGATGCAACGCTTATATCAGAGATATGGAAAATGTTACTGGTACTTGAAACAAAGAATATGAGGTAACCTGACTATAAAAAGAAGATATAGAAAGCGTGTTATCACATGTCTTCAAGTAAATGATACTGTATATCTATGCGCTATATATGAAATAAACAAATCTGACATGGAATTAAGTTCTACTACAGTGCCCAAGTTTTGTATTTATATTAAATAAGTACATTTAGATCGTAAAAACGATTTATATACTTCACTTGGTCATCAGAATTTTTATTTTTTAATTTTTCCCTTGGGTTCCTAGTAGAACATAGGGCATCAGTAGCACGCCTCCGTTCCACTCCGTCCTCTGCATTATTTCCAACCCGGTTCCACGACTGCCCACAAGGTTTCATTTCTTCCTTACATGATCTTCTCCATGTCATCCTTGCCTCGGACGCCCAACTCCTCGTTTTCCCTTCGAGTTTAACTCGAGGGCCTGGCACTGGTGCATAGTGTCCCGAGTCAGCCTTCTCAGTATATGCATAGTACAAACCATCTCCACTTTTTTCTGCACACACGTTGGGCAATACGTTCTTAGTTGGTTCTCTGACAACCCAGAGTTCCTTGTTGCTTTTTTTTTACTGTTCTGGCCATCTGATTTTCAGTATCTAGTGAGCGTAGGCAGCGGCAGCTGTGGATGAATGTCTGTAGTTTGTTGGAAATGCTTTTCATGATGCGCCAACTCTCTGAACCAATACATAGAAGCACTTACTTGACTTTGGGCACATCCCTCTTCACTTCTTTGTCCAGTGTAGTGTTTTATGGGTTGTATTCAGTTCCACTTTTCGTTGTTCACCTCTCCACTGCACTGCAGCAGTTCTTCTTCTACTTCACCATCTTCCTCTCCCTCAGCTATCAGCTTCCATGTGTCCGTCAAGATCCATTCTTTGTCTTGTTTCCTTTTCCTTCTTAATATGGTTATGCAGGTTTCTTTTCACATCTCTTT